CATCACCGTGTGTCGCAATATTTTTAAAAATTAAGATGTGCTGAGAAGGATAGCCATATTTATTTTTCCCCCTTTTTGTTTTTTAATGTGCTTTTTTTTGTGGACAAACATTTTCTATGGGAATTTTTAGGAGCAAATGCAGTCTTTGTCAAAGTTGTCATTCACTTAGAAAACAAAAAAAAGATATTTGCTCTTTTAAGGGAAATTAAAAAATGTGCTGTTCCAAACAGGAAAACTGCCTTCTTCCCTCTTCCTTATTCTATGTATCTGAGCCTGCACAGATGAATTAAAACAAATTAAATGCCACAGTAACAGCAGATAAGGTGAAAACATTTCTGTTATCAACATTTCCGTGAAAATTGATGTGCTCTGGATGCATATGGTTTGTGAACAAATACATAACCACAAGCCCATTTCATTATGTATATTACTCACAGTCAATGGGCATACTGATGCAGATCAAGTGACTTTTGATTAAACTTTGACTCTTGAAAGATGATTAGAATAACAAAATTAATTAATTGCCCTGGGACTCCCAGCAAGACTTTCACCCACACTCTGCCTGAGCTATGTCTAGGTGTGTCTACTTCCAGTTCTGCTTGTGGTCCTGTCTCCTGTAGACTAGACTTTGGACCTGTTGCAACCTAGTGTCCATCCCTGTCTCTGATCCCCTTCTTTTCTCCTGACTGGGTTCCCTGGATGGAYTCTGAACCTGGCCCATCACTTTGCCTTGTTGCTGGGATCTTGCTCTGCTTGCTGTGTGCGGACCCTGTGGGGTTGAACCTTGTTGGAAAGGTCATGGCTTGTGCTGCTGTTATCCTTGGCTCCTCTCCTCTCAGGAATCTCTTCCTGCAACCTGAAATACGTCCRGGCAAAGTCTGATATTCCAAGTAAGAAAATTCTACCAGTGATTTTTCCAATCTTGATTTCCAATAAAAATATCATAGAATCATAGAATTGTTTGGTTTCTGAGATCTTTTAAGATCATTTAGTTCATCCCATGTGCTTTGGGCAGTGACATCGTCCATTAGATCAAGTTGCTCCGAGCTGTGTCCAACCTGACCTTGAACACTTGAACAGTGGGGCATCCACAACCTTTCTGAAAAACCAGTGTCTCACTGCTCCCATCACAAAAAAATTTAATCTACCTATCTAGTCTAAATCTGCCCTCTTTAAGTTTAAAATAATTGCCCCTTGTTGTATTGCAAAAGGAACCACAATTCTCTCAACCCTTCCTCACAAGAGAGGTGCTTCACCCCTCTGATTATTTTTGTGTCTGTCCTCTAGACCTCCTGTAACCATAACAGGCCAATGTCTTTCCTGTACTTTCCTGAACTCCAGAGCTGGATGCAGCACTCCTGGTGGAGTCTCAGCTGGGTGAATCACCTTCCTCGGCCTGCTGGCCACACTTCTTTTGATGCAGCCTAGGATACAGCTGTCTCTCTTARTTCTGAGCACACATTGCCATCTCACAGCCGATATTTCATTTGCCAGTGTATCTCTGAGTGCTTCYCTGCAGGTCTGTTCTCAGTCTGTTCATCAAGCAGGCTGTAAAGATATTGGTGATTACCATGACCCATGTGCAGAACATCATGCTTGGTCTTTTTGAAGTTCATGGGGTTTGTGCATCTCAAGCCTGTCAAGGTCCCTCTGGATGGCCCTCAATGTCCCCTCCATTCTCTCCAGTGTGTCAGGTGCACCACAGTTTGGTGTCACCCAAGGGACAGCACTTATTACTGATCTCTATTTAAGCAGTATCCAAATGTGGATTAAACAGTGACAGAGAGAACTCCTGGAAAATGGGTCTCAGTTAACAATCCTGACTATCCTAACAGTCCTTGATATGGCTTTGACTAAAAAAACTAGCACTTTTCCAAATAACTCCGGGTTATGTAAATACCTAGAAATTATCAATGAGCAAACTCTGCAGGAGGCATTTTGTATTGTTCTAGTTGGCCTCAGTGCTAGACAGTGATTTGAGCAGTTTTCATTTACTGCTACTTTTGTAGTATTTATTAATATATTACCATTAATATAATTAAATAAATACTCAAATTAAACTAAATAAATATATTAAATAAATGCTCAAAATTAAATAAATTAAATAATTACTCAAATTTTCAGCTTTTCTCATGAAATGAAAGCAGTTAATTTCCCCAAAAATATTTTGGTGAGCTAATTTGAACACCTAGACTCAATAAGGCAGTAACCTGGATCAGGAAYGGTGTCTAAATAGACTTCCATGAACCTTAAGAAGCAATGGATTGAATTCTGTCAGAGGCACATTTTAAAAGTTATTCTCCCTCCAGGTCTGMAAGTCATACAACAGATCTGGTTAATTTATTTTCATGCCAGTGCGCTGACACCAGCGCCATGCCTTCCAAACTCTACTGCAGAATTTAGTGACTAACTGTTTTGACAGCAGAATTTACCAAATATTTACTGTATTTTTAGAAGCCATTGCTCAARCTACACTGACTATGTATATCTGGAWACACACATGACACTGAGTCAGAACAGCTCTGAGAAATCAATGTTTAACATAAACATTTTAGATTTCCTTTTAACAGACAGATTTTGTTTCTTCTAATAAGCAACATAGYCTTTTGTTTCATAAGCACATAGTAATTATGTTAACCATGGTTACAGGATTTACCAGTGGAACTGTAAGCATTGAATAATACACTGTATGATGACAAAAAAAGATCCTTTTCTATGTTTTCATTTCTGACCTTCTGATTCACAATGAAGCTACTAAGTTATTTGTAACTATTCCTTTCTTTCTATTCAGAATTACTTTTAATTGCATCTATTATTTTAAAGAGGCATGGGGAGTGGCATTTTGCTTGATTATTTCCAGACACAAAGTCTTTCTTAGTAAAGGGGAGGAAACAGGTTATCATCTCTATAAATTAATTCCATGTCAGGCAAAGACTTTTGTGTGAGACAAGCAGGAGGAGTTTCTATCTTGTTCTGTATTGAGTATATCTGTTTTTCTCCACTCCAAGTGATCTCAAACGGCAGGAACTTCATGATGCACAGCAATAGGCAATGTGAGAGTAAAGACTTGTAGCTGACTGGCTATATAACAGCTTGGCATGAAAGRATCTGGGGGTCCTGGTGGGCAACAAATTGAACACGAGTCCACAGTGTGTTCTTGCAGCAATAAAGGCTAACTACGTGCTCTGATTTACAAAGTGCACCAGAGGTGCACAGCAGRAGCATGAGAGGCAGACRAWGCAAGCTAAAGCAAATGAAAATTTAATTATGTTTAATTTTCATCATAAGGGTGGTCAAAGGCTGGACCAGATTGCCCAGACAAACTATGGAAATCCATTTTTGATTCTATAGATCCACAATTGTACCAAACAAAATTCTGCGTTCTTTGGTCAAACCTGGGAGCTGGGTCTAAGTTCTAAATATTTTCAGCAGGGGTTTGGACCTCATTCCTTCTGGAGGAGCCTTCCAATCTGAGCTGCTCTGTGAAGATCTTTATTTTCCACAGGGGCATGGACAGTGGCATCAAGGGCACCCTTGGCAAGTTGTGRATGATACAAAGCTGAGTGGTGTGATTGACACATCTGAAGGATGGGCTGCATCCAAAGGGACCTGGACAAGCTTGAGAARTRGRTCAACAGGAATYTCATGAGGCTCAACAAGGCCAACTGCAAGGTCCTGCATCTGGATAGGGACACCCCCCAGGATCAACACAGACTGGGAATGAAGGGATRGAGARCAGGCCTGGGGAGAAGGACTTGGGGGTGCCAGTGGATGAAAAGCTGGGTACAACTCAGCAATGTTCGTTTGCAGCCAAGAAAGCCACCTGTACCCTGGACTGCATCAAAAGAAATGTCAGCAAGATGAGGGAGGTGATTCTGCCCYTCCTCTGCTCTACCTGCAGCACTGTACTCAGTTCTGAAGTCCTCAGGGTAGGAAAGGTGTAAACCTGTTGTAGCAGGCCTAAAGGAGAGCCAAAAATATGATCAGGAGGCTGGGACACCTCCCCTGAGAGGAAAGGCTGAGACAGTTGAGGTTTTTCAGCCTGGAGAAGGCTTCAGGGAAACCTTATTGATAGCTTCTTAGCATTTAAAGGGGGTCTATAAGAAAGCCAGGCAAACATTTTAGCAGGGACTGTGATATGAGAAGGTTTGATGGTTTTAAGAGAGGGCAGATTTAGATCAGATATAAGGAAGAAATYTTTTACAATGAGAGTGKTGGAACAGTGGCATCTGTYWCGCAGAGAGGTGGTGGRTGCCCCATCCCTGGAAACRTTTGAGGTCASCTGGGACAGGGCTTTGAGCAACCTCATCCAGTTAGAGCTGTCCCTGCTCACTGCAGASGGGTTGGACWTGATGACCTTTRAAGGTCACTTCCAACCCAAACAATCCYATRATTCCACAAAYCTACMAATCTCTGCTTCTGTAACGACKGCAGACTATTCCATGATTATTGTTTTCTAGACTTCATATTTATTTCTGTTTCAGCAAAACAGTCACCTCAGCTTTTTCCAAGGGTTGAATGACCCTAAATTTTCCCCTGAAGGAATAKTACGGTTTCTTTGTCTCTTCTCAGGAAGAGATAGCACTAATCCTTTGATTGTGGAGACTAATGTTAATTTAATGGTATAACTCAGAAAAAAAAAAATGTGCAGGGTAAAAAGTTTCAAGTCAGAATGATGTGACAAACATTTTAGGTATTCAGGGCAGCATTCTGGGACTTTCTTTGCTAAGATGTAGTGATAACTGAGCAGCAGCCCTGTTAAAATTAACATATAACTGAGCAAATCCTTTTCCTCATTCTGCAATTTAAGATGCTGTACACAACAAACCATCAAAAGCACATTCTAAAYGGATGCCTCATATATATACTGCCTTGAAATTGAAATGAAGCTCTTCAGATCCTTACAGGAGGGAYTTAAAAAAACCTGATACATAGCAGACAGAAATGTTAAGTCAGGATGCCAGGTAGAATCTTCAAATTTTTAAATTGAATTTACTCACTTAGCATCTTCTTGYCCTTCCTGTTGAGTTGTCTTAGCTGGTTCAGTTGAGTTTTCAGGTTTTGAAGGCTCAGGTGCTTTTTCTGATCCTGTATCTAGAAAAGAGGTTTGAATTTTTGAAAATGAATTTTTAAAGAATTATTACAATACTTTTGAAGGAATCACAGTCCGTCTGACATTATTTCTTCAGTGGACAAGCATTAAAGGATGCTGCTTCTGGAACCCGACCCTTGAACAATTTCCTACGTAAATCTATTTCAGAGCCAATGCTACATAACATGTTTATGGCAAGTACATCTTTTAGAATATATAATTTACATGTGGTTTTAAACTAGATTCATGAGTCGCCAGCTCAACAATGGTCAATACAGAATTCATCTGTATTTATGAGGGATAAGAAGTCATGCAGCATGGTAAAGGATAGACAGATCTGTCCAGAAATATCTTGTGAAATACAGCAAGAAAAATGAGGAATAGCTTATTTGCTTATGGATAGAAATGCTAATGACATTATTTATATTCAGTGTTTGTAGTACATCAAAGATGTTATTGCTTCAGCTGCCACGACAGTCCTGAGTAAATTATGGCTGAAATATATCATTAAGGATGTGAGTGTGTCATACTTTTTCTAGTGTGTATTTCTTCATATCTCTTATCAGTAACTTTTTCAAAGGAGTCTAAGTAGGAAGCTTGTAGAGCTTGAAACAAATGGTATGGTCTCTTGCCATTTAAGTGGCCTTAAGTGATGATTTTTTATAATCAGTCTTATATCCTTGTTTTAAATTTTCACACTGAAAGATCATGTGATAGCGCTTATCAGTCTGACGCTTTTTGCGTAATAGAGGAACAAGCTCAGCTATCACAAATACTTTAAGTAGTATGATTATAGAGGGAAAAGCTTGRCAGCAAAAAATCAGAGCAAATCAGTCAGGACCCTGTGGCAGATGCTGTGTTTTAGGTTTTAGACAGCTCACAGAAAATCAAACCTTCAATATTTTGGATGATTACTTCTAGTAATAGTTAAACTCCATACTTAGAGAGTTATTCATTCCAAAGGAGTAAAAAATTTCAGCAATTTGCAGTTGCAGTTTCTGCTCCCTTCTGAACTCATGGTTTGTACTTTCCCAGTTCTCCATGCTTGGACTCCACCCTCTAAAAAGCCAAGTACTCAATCAAGAGTGACAACAAGGCAAATTTCAGCATTTCTGCAACCATCTCACTTTGGGAACACCAAAACCCACAAACCCCCCAAAAGCAAAGTAAAATTTCAATAAAGCATTTGTTTTCAGATATTAAGATATGCATAAATGTCAGCAGCTGGATAGTAGCAGTCTGAGGGCAGAACAGAAAAAAAAAAGTGTTTTCTTTGCAATACTTCAGGAAGGGAAGAATTTCTTTCCTAGAATTCCCAACCAGCTCCATTTCCTCGTAGTAGCATCTGACCAGTATTTTATCTATGCTTCCCCTCCTGGCTGTACTGGTTCGGTACATGTGAAAGTAGAACTTGTCATGGCTAGCAGTTACCTATATAAAAAGCAAAGAATTCCCTGGGCTCATTCTTTTGTCTGTTCAAAAGCACATTTTAGCTCAACTTGATCTTCAACTGGCATAATYTMATTTAATTTTGAATCYACAATRTRTTGTTTTTATTGTTCACTTTTGTGYTCTTTKGTRGAAGCAGTATTTCCATSARAACRCASTACCATAATATCTATYTTATATTAATTATATATATGTGGTCAAATGCTTTCTTCTACTGCTAACTTCTTCGTGACTTTGACAACAATGTAGGCATTTTAAAATACACTGATGCTTAAAAACTACTATATGATTGCRCAATTAGTGTCGTACTAAATATAGCTAATTGAGTTGCTATGCATGTAATATAGTTGTAAATGTTAACATTCAGTTCTGATGTTTATTACCAGGATTAATGTAGGCAATGTTTATTTAAAGAACACTCAATGTTTTTTTTGTTCCTTGCATAATGTAAAATGATTGTAAAAATCTGATTGGCCTGAACTATCTTGACCTGTTCTCCAACACTTGGCATAAAAACTAAAGGGAATTAGTCATGGTGGACAAAAAGACAAAAACAAAGGAAGACTTTATTTTCCTTCTGTTGAATATATATATATTTGATGGTTGCTTGAAAACTTTGTGTAGGGTGATGTTTGTGCTCTGGTTTCAGCTGGGGTAGAGTTTTAATTTTCTTCACAGTGGCTGGTGTGGGGCTRTGTTTGGATCTGTGCTGAACACAGGGTAATAATACAGAGATGTTTTTGTTATTGCTGAGCAGGACTTGCACAAAACCCAGGCCTTTTCTGCTTTTTGGATTGTCTCACTGGGGAGGGGACTTGGGGGTGCTGGGAAGGTTGGGAAAAAACAGCTGGAACCAGCTGAGCCTAACTGACCAAAGGGATATTCCAGACCATGACACTTTACCTACTGACCACGCTTAGTATATAAAGAGGGGAAAGAAGTAAGAAGGAAGTTTGGAGTGATGGTGTTTATCTTCCCAAGTAACTGATGCATGATTGGAACCCTGGTTTCCTGGAGAGCCTGAACACCTATCTGTCAGTGAGCAGTGAATTAATTCTTTTTTTGCTTTGCTTGTGTGCAGGGCTTTTGCCTTCCCTAACAAACTGATAAAACATTTCAATCCACAATGTTTCTAGCTTTTACACATCTCATTTTCTCCCCAATTCCACCAGTCAGGGAATTAGTGGGAGGCTGTGTGGGGCTTGRTTGCTGGCTGGGGTTAAACTACAACATGCTCACATGATAAAACTATTTTAGTTAATATATAAAAAATGATGGCAATTTTAATGGGGCATGGAAACACCTGAGGATATTTCTGACAGTATTGCTTAGAATAGGAAACACTGTGTAAGGACATGGGTAGACTCTGCTAGTAGGAGGTAGAGTCATTAGTGTTTGAGTAACCTGTACTTTTTGGTAGCATCATATATGCCATAGAAACATGATTTTAAGCACTTAAAATCTGTGATTTTTTGGGGCCATTTTCCTTCTTTTGCAAAGTGTTAAACATTTCAAAATATGTTAGAAGTCTCACATTGGCTTTTAAGTGTTATTGACTGACTGCAAAGTAATGTAGAGAGCAGGTTCTCTTGAGCAGCCAGAGTAAAGATTGGCTTTGCACTGGGTGCAGTGGAATGGGAATGAAAGAACTGGTCTACAAAATCCATGTGATACTTCTGACATAGTAGTTTGCCTCATTGTCCTTTACTCACACAATGTTCTGGAGCTATCCAAAATATCTAAAAATGTCTAAAATATCTAAAATAGGGTCATGAAGATCTCAAGGAAAACACCAAAAACAACACAGGAATCCTATGGATGAAGGAGAGAAAAGACTTCACCTCTGACGTTACAAAATGCACACTTTTGTGACTCTACAAGCAACATTTTTTGCTATGTGCAAGGGAAAAATGTTCAGAAATCAGCAGGGATGAAATGAAACAATCAGTATGTAGGTCCATCTTAACTCAACCCTCAACTTCAGTGGCTAACAAAAATATTATTTAAGTTTATTTTCTATAAAGAAAGATTGTATGAAGAAGCTGAGTTTATTTTYCTAGCATTTAGACCTGTCACTCATGTGAAAAATGAAGATCTGAGAGGAATTAGAAGACTTCACATCAGCAGGAGTGGAAGCAAGCTGATTAAACATATTCAAGTTCTTGATAATCTTTAAAGAAACATTTTATGTGAATAATAGCTGCCTGTTTTCTGAGTGCCAGTGACRAGCATAAAGGATAAGGCAACAAGGAATAAGATTATTTCAAAGTCTCTTTGGATTGGCAGGTTTAGTCCATTGGGTTAAAGCTTATTATATCACATACTTCATGTGTATTTAATGAATCAAAACCACYTATTTAACTCTGGATTTTCAGGTGCTGAGGGACAGGGTTTGTAAAAACACTTAAGAGCAACTTAAGAGTCAAATTCATGGCAGGCCAAAGGAAGATGTTAGCTGCAAAATTTCACATTTAACTCAAATCACCCCTCTTAGAAGTTTAACACAGTTGTAGTCCATGCAGAGTTAGTTGGTACCTAATTAACCAGAATTAGCTAAAGGTTTACAGCATAGGATTTTGGTACCCTCAATTAACACACTTGCTTTATTTCTATCTCCAGGAAGACAGAATGACCAGCTAATGATCAAAACTCTCCTCTGAGGAGAGGAGATCTTGGCTCTGGGCCTTATTTATTTGCAATAGCGTCAAATACCTGTTGGGAGGATTCCCCCCCCCCCCCCTTTTTTTTTAAAGATGTAATGATGTTTTAATATAAACACAGAATGAAATCAAAGCACTTCATTCTTCCTATGTGGTTACTATTTTGATTAACTTTTATGTCCATTCCATTCTCCATGTTGCATTCTAACATCTTGGATTTCACAAGTTTTTACATTCTTTTCTGCATGAAGGCCCAGAGGAAGGGAGACCACAGAACTTCCTCCCACAGCTCTCTAGTCCAGGTTTTGCACAGGTTATCAGGGAACTCTGCAGGAATGTGAGAGATATGGGTTTGAACTCTCATATTAGGAAAGAGGCAAGGTAAAATAAGTAGGCTGATACATGAGAGGGGGCAGCTATCAACAACATCTGCTTTTGCATTTTTTCTTTGTGGAAAGTGAATGTTCTTCAAGTACCTAAACAAAAGAGGGAGTCTGGAGTGGATTCTTTTGGAGCAGCCCTTCCTCTGAGGTGCTGCACTGCTTCCTGGAGACACTTTCCAAAGCATCTGGGCTCTGAAGGTACTGAGTATCACTGAACATTAACATGATAATCTCCCAGATGGGAAATTCTGTGTACTTTATGATCTACATGTGTAATTATAGCATGTGTAGAAATACCTCTGGTAGTTTTGCTTTGGCTTTCTTACTCGAGTCCTACCAAGAACACAGTAATGTCCATGTGTACTTTAGTAAAAGATGAATAAATGTGACTGTGATTCTGGAAAACATCTTTGAGACACTTGTTGATTTAGTAGAAGTAGGAAGATCAAAAACCAGAATATTGGGAACATACTATTTTCCAAGGGAAAAGTGTAAAGATGAGGACACTTAGGAGAAGTGCTAAGATGGAGCTGGAAAGAAACAAACTGGAATTATCTGTCAGGAGGATGAAAAAAATTGTAAAACAGAGAATGATAATGCAGTCACCAGCTATCAGGTGGAGGCTGGATGAGTCCTCCTAAAGAGCATAACCACCAACAGAGCCATGGAACAGCAGTGGGTAAAACAAGGGAAGCATTTGAATGGCCAGTCAGTTATGGGAGGTGATAAATATGCAAAGAAATTATAGCAATTGGATTCAATATCACAGAGAACCTGTAATTAGGTGAATCACACTCGGTAAAGTACACAAAAAATACATGGAATAAATAAAAAAAAATTAATCCATTATGGAACAAACCGACTAAGCGCAGAGAATTAATTACAGAGTGAACTAATTATGCAGAGAATTAATYACAAAGCAAGCTATTGAGAGAGTGGGCAACTGAGGAGGTGGAGATGAGGCAATGAGTAGCCAACAAAGAAGCCAAAAGTACCAGGTGTTGCTGGCTGGTGTAAGTGGCCAAGKTTTAATCAAACAGGCTCCAATGGTACCTCCTGCTGGATTCTCATCTGTGCTGGAAACCCTGTACTGCTTTGTGAGTAGGAGGAGAAAGGGAGAAGGTAATGCCTGGTTTTGGTCATGTGGAAAGAAGGGGCGTGAAGATAAGCTCTACTCAGTCTGTTGATTTGTATTTAGCACTATGGAGCTGCAAACTGATACTATGATTAAGGGTTTTATTGGTCTCTTTCATTTTGATTATACCAGAGAAACTAACGAGAGACATTGGAAAGACTTTTCTCTAACACWTTTGAAGTTCTCCATTTATCTGATCTTCCTTAACTAATACTGCTTGAGCCCCATCTGTGCTTTTTTCTCTCCAAGTTTATATATACACCATAAAATGTTTTCTCTGGTCTCTTGTCCTCTGCTTACCCAGAAAATTTTTTATTTTCTTCTTCCAAGTAATTTTACGTCTGACACAAAGTTCACACAATTTTGCAGGAGTTTTATCTAGACCCTCCTGTGAACTACTTTGGACCACCCTCCCTTTCCTGTCCAGATAAAAAGGAGTTACTTATTTGAGGTTCAGGGTTCTGAAATTCATAAGCTTCTCCTAAGGTGTGGTCCTTGTGTAAACCCTCTGGCTTGTATAACTATTGTCTAACTTGTTTGTACCCTCAGTGTCTTGCAGCTGTTTGAAAATGAGAATTGTAGTACCTTCCAAAAAAAAAAAAAAGGATTTAAAAATACCTTTGAAAAACATTATTATAATTTCCTAAAGTAATTGATGGTGTGGTTGCTACTATGCCGCCACTTATTTTATATTTTAGAAGGAAAAAAAAAGTAGTTTATCATCCCAAAATATATCTTAATTAGTTACATTAATCTGTAAGATCAACTTAAGTTTTTAATGGGAACAAAAATAATTTCTGTACTGGTACTTCTTTCTGTTATGGGATTGCATCTGTGATTATCAAATTTGATTTTTTTCCATTGTTACTACAGTTAATTCATGCCAGACTTTGTCTTCCCTTGATTTCATGTTACAGCCATTATATAACAAGATAATTGCATTAAATGGACGTTGTTTAAAGTTTTGCTATACAAGGAAAGAAATTGTGACACTTGCTATGACTACACAAACACAAGCAAGGATTTTGAAAGTTTCTCTGTAATCTTTTTTCAACTGCTCTGCTCTTCTCAGTTACTCTTTATCACAGAAAACTGGAAATTCCTCAGTCTTTGCTTTGCTGCTTCAGCGAAATTAAATTGCTCTCCTAAAGGAAAAGCATGAAGTGACAGGAAAATTGGACTCTGTGTTTTTCTCCAGTAGTGGAGGATGGAAAAGAAAAGGGCTGCAACACGCATGCTGTGAGGGAGGGGGCAGAGCCCAGCAGTAGTTGCTGTTTTACCCATCCTGAGCCTTTCTTTATTTTGGTAGCTGCTGTTAGCAGTCATTTAGGCTCTGGAATAAGCAAAATAGTCTTGGCTGCAGGAGATGGGGGAAGAGAAGGGCAGGATGGCGATGGCCAGCTGTCTATTTTCAGAAACCAGCAGCTAAGGAAAATAATTACCTTGTTTTTCTGCCCTGTGTTCCTGTGTACTGGTCCTGAATAATTCTTGAATGGTGATGGCAAATATTTTTAATGATATTTCATTTTTTGTTTGTTTGTTTTAAATTACTTACTTGTTGGGGCCTTTAAAAAAATTTGAATGGCTGTTCAGTGAAATATTARGAAGTCAGATAGTTTGTAGTCTGTTTTACCTTTTCTAGTACATGTGAGAAGCRCCCCCAAAATAAACATTGAAAATGTGATTTTTTTTTTTCTTAAGCTAATAAATACCTTTCTTYTATGATTTCTAAGGAGTCATATTGCAATAAGAGAAAATAGAGTTTAAATAGCTGATTAAAGTGGGCAAGCTTGAGAAGGGATTGTGTWATTGAAAGCTTGTTGCCTTTTGTTATTGTTGGATACTGATACTGCTCCTATACTTGTAACAAATCATTGGTCTGGGGTCAATGACGAGTCAGGGATTTTAACTTCTTCTACAAATTAAACATAAGAGCTCCTGCCAGAACACTAGGAAGAACAACAGTTTTATTTACAATCCCATACAGCATACATATATTATGTACAGATAATCTTTGAAAACTCATAAATAGCTTATTACTGACCTTGTTGCTTTGGTGCAGGCTCTGCTTTATTATTGGCCTCTGCTTTTGGTGGTTCATTTGTTGTTTTATTTTCATCCTTAAAAAAATAAACAGGATTAGAAACTGTAGATGGTTGTTGTTGAGAACTATAAGGGTGGATTGATTTCTGCTACATTTTTCCAGGAATTTCACTGTTATGACACACTGACCATTGTTCCTGGTGTTGTGTGCATTTCCAGATGGATTTGCAAAAGGGCTTGTGATGTTCAGCACTGCCTCTCACAGCCCCATGTGCATSTCTGAGTTGGTCATGCTCCTGCCTAAACCTCCTGCTGGGCTCACACACYTGAAATATTTTGAACTACCTTATCACCGTGACAGTTCTCAATCTCTACAAAATACTGAGATGTTATCAACTTTAACTGCAAAAAAATAACTTCCTCCCACACTTACTGACTTAGATCCATTAACCAAATCCTTGTGTATCTGTGCCTTGGTTCACCTCAGCTTTAAGAGAGTGGCCTTTGGAGGAATAAATGAGATACTCATGGGGAATCCTAGGTGTTCACAGAACTATGTAAGATCATCATGTTAATCAAGACTGTTAGCATTAGTTATCCCAGCTAGAATGAGTTTTCCTGCTGGGTAGCAAGCTCATTAATAAAAAAAGATGTTAGATTGTATCAGCAAATGGAAAAATTATTTGGCATTATGACCTTTCAGGTCTTCATGCACTTTTTTTTTCCTTTCCTAAACCGGTGATCTTCTTTTTGTTTGTGTTTCTGAAAAGAATTTGTTGGTTTTCTTTAAAGAAAATATTTGAGTTTTCCTGTCTGTTTTTATTCAGAGAATCAGGCATTGAAGTTCTAATATATATACATATAGAGGACTAAATTATAAATTATATATATATATATATATATATATATATATATATAAATTAAAAATCCAGTCAATGTCTGTCCATACTAAAGGTTCTTGAATGATGTTTTGTTGCAAAGATTACTTTCTTTGTTTCAGGCTCCCTCCTAGAAGCATAAGTACATAAATGAGTGCACTAATTAGTATATTAATCAGTTAGCAGATATTATGTACTTTCTTCTTTTCTCTTTAGTTGTATCTCCTTGCAGGCAGGAAATGCCTTAATCCCTGATCCATTCATTGCCTCCATCTTGGCAGTGTTTTGAAGAGTGGAGGCTGATGGAGGCTGATACGATCTGAGTGTTGCACTGATGGATGAAATTATTCTCTCCAAAATACTAATCCAGGTCTCCAGGGAAATCTGAATATATCTGTTTTCCTAGAGCACTTTGTCTGGTGAGATATCAGCCTGCATARAGCTAACCTGTTGATGTTCAGTTTTCTTCTTTTAAAACAGTATTTTATTGGCACAAGAATATTGAACTGTAAAAGAAGCACGAACAACTCCTGTCGATGTGCAGTATATGAAGGTTATTGTGCTTTGCCATTTTTGCCTTTTTTTTGTGGATGACAGCATGGATATGCCTGCTCATTTTATTTATATCAATGATAAATCAAATCTGAATTGTAGTTGGGCTGGATTGAACCATATCTCTTGTTGAGGCTGTACAAATCTGTGAGTTTTAGACAACTTCAGTTCTCGGAAGTGATTCAGTCTTACAAGTATTTTTGTTTCTATCAATTTTGCTTAAAACTTTAAAATTAATGGAAGTTTTGTACATGCAAATCAATGCTCCCAGAAGTTACGTGTCTATGTTCAGTTGTTGTGAATGTGTTAAAAGAAGCTGCTTACTTAAAATTAACTTTATAACAGAGGAGTTTTGATTGTTTCAATARGCATGAATGATAGCCTAATAGCTAATATTCTAATAGCTCATGCTGATACTAAAGAACGTTTTCCACTTCCTTAATTAATTGGTGGAACCCTAAATTATTACCATGTTGCCTTACACAATTTTGATTATGTCAAGTTGGAAAGAAMAAAAGCACTTTCTGGGACATTATTGGGAAAAGTTAAAAATTCAAATGTAGCAAGAGAAAGAGTACGTATCCTTTTGCTTCAGTTAAAATATTCCATTAATTACATTGCAAATATGAATTAAATTTTACAATAATGAAATATTAAACAAAGATATAGACTGTAGACTAATATGACTTACTGTATTTTTCARAGAGGAGTTATGTTAGGAAAACCAAGCTGAAAAAAGACTACTTTRAAAAGCTACTAAATTACTTTGTCTTTCCAATGTTTTTCAGGAAGCAGGCTGATATATACCTGCATGACATTCTAATATTCAGAAAGGACACACTGACATTTGCTGCCAGAAGGAAACAAGATGCAGAAAAATATATCAGCATATGAAAAGCAGCAGTACCTGTATCTCTAATTCTCCATTTGCAATGTTGATCACGACCTCTCATAAGCCTGTACTATTTCAGGTTAGCCCTATTTAGAAAGAAGCTTTCTAAAGGAGAAATTTTTATTTTCTTCATAAAGAAAAGGTGGTAAGTTGGAGGAGAATGAAGACATTTMTTTSTTTTTTTTTTTTTCAATGAAGATTAATACCATGTTCTAACCTTTGGTATTTACTTCCATAAATAGCATCTAAATAAAAGATAGCATTAATCAGTCTATAATAGATAAGAAAAAMCATACCTGGCCTGTTGATGCCTTTGGTGGTGGAGGGGTATCTTCATTCTTGGGAACTAAAGGCTCAGGTGCTAACTTTGGTCTAGAAAACACTGATTTTAGTTTTCGAAACATCTTGCCTCTTCAAGTCCCCTGAAGCCTCTATAACTCCTTTACCATGGACAGGTTTATAGCACATGTTTTCTTGCCATCAGTAATCAAGCCAATTAGACACCTAATCAGGTTTAGGTCTGATTAGAGCCTTAAAGAAATTCCTTGCACAGTCTGTTTCAGTGACATTTTTTGTCACCATTTGTACCTTTTTCTATGTTGTAGGCTGTTGTAGACTGTTATTTCTAAGTTATTTTTAGTCTTGACAATTACACCATATACAGCTCCACTTTTTATGCAAAAAGTCAGAGGAGAGTGACTGACTCTTTTCTATTTCGAATAAACCAGCGTCTAATCTTTTGTGTATTGGATATTAAACATTTAATTTATATTTAAAAATAAGGTTTTAAGTTGCCAGCATACTGGTAGTTTAACTAAGAGATGAAAATGATTAATTAATAAATAATCAACAATACCTGAGATCACAAAATGTTTAATTTCTTTGCCATCCTCAGCTTATTTTTTTGAGTGAATGATAATAAAGGATCTTTTGGGATTTTTGTTAGCAACTTTATGCCTTATTCTATTTCATTCTTCTTATTTTAAAACATGGAAAAAAATTGTCTTTTGTTTTCTAATTAATTTACAGGSAGTTCCACTTTATGCAGTCCTAGCTACAATTTTGATGAGAATAAACGTTAGGTGAATGAATATCTTTTAAATTATAGTTTATARCTGGGGTATGATATTGAGATTTTATAAACTTGGGGTCATCTTATATAAATCTCCATAAAATCAGGCATAGTGTAGTTTATAGGTAAGTTCAATTTCAAGTATCTCAAATGCCCTGTTGATTAAGCCCTCCTGTCAACAAGGATCTTTGCAACTTAATGACCATCAAAGCACCAAGAAATACAGAAAGCTACTCCTCTGAGTTATTCCTTAAATGACATATTTAACAATTGCATCAAATTATTGAACATCTCCCTCCTTGGGGCATTATTGTCTGGCAAGGAGAGTTTCTAATCCTTTTCAACCATAGTAGTAACTGTAAGAATGAATCAATTATTTTCATTAGTTTGCAAGTTTTTTCCTCCAGTGACACTTATGAGGCAAACCTTGTTACAATAATTGGTCAGACTTCAGTTTTGGAACTGGGAACCTCCCCACATGCATGAGGTTTGTTAAATGCAGCAAGAGCTTAGAACCTCCCCTTTTTATTAACCTCTCTGACCTGATTTATTTTAAAAGCAAYGCAGTTCTTGCTCATCCTTYRCATTGTTTTTAAAATTAYTGTTTAAATGACTAAATTATAAATWAATATCTAAAGAATTTTYACTTATTTGTSCAGRTCAGGAYAATAGTTAGATTCTTTACTTCTGGATGTGAATTTTTGCATCTCCCCATAACAGAAAAATCTTAGAAAACAAGTCAGCTTTTCTTTTACTGTGTGAAATTTGAGTGGTTTAAAATTGACCGGTTCAGGAAACTTTAAACAATAGTCACATGCAAGCCATATTTGAAGATTGGGCCATTCTGAGAGCAACCATTTTCTCATTTAAAAAAAATAATAATTCTTAATTACTAAATTTTTTTAATAACTAGTTTTCTTCCTTGTTCATTAGAAATAGTAAAGTTCTGCATAAAACATAATGATATAAAAATATATAGCATTTATTAAAGGAAACTCTGTATCTCAACAATCTCTGTAAAATTATGCACATTCATATTTTTAAAATGTGAATAAACATGTTTTAATGCTTTTAAAAATATAATGTTTATGCTGGTATATAATTTATAATTAATAGGCATGCAAAATGAATGTAGCAGACATTAAAAGGAAGGTGCCATTGGGAATATTTTTAGTAACTATTGACATCCACAGTTAATGAATTTTAAATTTRTTTAGTCTGTGACTAATTAAACAAATGTTCGAAAACTCTTCATATGATCTGATTTTGTAAATAATAAATAGACTACAAAAAAAAATGCATTTTGWTACCAATAGAAGTAAAAGTTCACATCTTGATCCTTGTAAAAATATTAATCTCCTTCAATGTTTCATTTTTCTTGTATGTACAGTGGCTGTTTAGATATTTTTGCCACACTTTGAACATGCTAAAAGCTCTCTAGTGAATTGAATATCATGATGCACTGTTAAGTAAGAAGATTAGGAGTGCAGCAGAAAAGAAGATAGCTCGTGTCCAGTTAGCTTCTTAGCTACATTGGCTTTGTCCAGGGCTTACTGGGTGCTGTATTTATGGTAAACCCCGCAGGGTACAGGGATTTCAAGCCTGCCTCATACATTCTCTAGCTACAGGTGGAGTGTATCCTATGTTTATGAATAATTTACCTCCTATCCCATTCTTTTTTTCTCTAAGAAAAAAATTGTCCTCCAGGAAAATATGTGACATATGCATTGGCTTTTCAAAATTTTCATAAGATTATTCTGCAAGGGATTTTATTTCTAATCTTAAACAGTGCAGTACTTAAATCATTAGAATATACAAAAGGAAGCATTATTTTCTGTATAATTAGGAGTATCACTAATAAGAAGAGAWTCCTTTTTTCAGGACTGTTCTTTGAGATGGTTTGGATTTGGTTGGCCTTTATTTTGCCCAGAACTTGTAATAAAATTTGAAAGCACCGTGGGTGCAGATTTAACTCCCAGTGTAGTTAACAGGCAYAGTGTGAATCCCAAGGACTGCTTTTCATTCCTCCAAAGGCAGTGTCAGTTGCTCCATTTGTCTGAGTGTACTCAGTGATCAACAGATTTCACTTGGAATTTTTATATCATATTAAGTCARGTGTAACATTTAAAAAAGATCAATGCCTGGCTTTTGCTTCTATTCTGCTATTCCCATGATGCAAAATGTAGCATAAGATTCTTTTCATAGGTATCTTTCTTCAGTTTATCTTTGTAATTCAAGGATCTTGACAGCTAAGAGTTAATACATCTTCCTTTAGAACTCTGTAAGAGTAGTCAGACATGAACTGAATCTAACACTTTTCATAACTTTTGTCTCTTCACAGTGTAAGATCTGGCAATTTTCACTATTTTTGTGGATTAATGAAAATTATAACAGTAATTTATCAATCTTCCTTAATGCTGAGTTTTTTGTTAAAAGACTTCTTTTTTCCTCAGAAGAAAATTGGTTTTGGGGCTMAGATTGTTCATATGTACTTATTGTCTTCTTAAATGCAGGTGATACTATCTTCTAACTACCTTAATAAAAAAAAAATAATTAATGCTTTCAATGGAAATATGTCTTCTAAGTTATATCATCACAGTCATGGCCAGATGTATGACTTATAACTTTAGCATTCAGTGAGGTATCTCTAGAAATTACAAAGATTATTTAAAAGATGATTCCTTCACTATTTTGCTTTATCAGATTTTGCACTGATTCAGAAGGCTTTTCTTATGTTGCGCTTTATATCTTGGCACAAACCTTCTTCATCCTAAAGTCTGATGCAGTAAYAGGTGTCATGGTCTGGAGGAATCTGAAAGTGCACAATAAGCCTGACTGTTTTGGCCTACAACGAATGCAAGCTTTCCTTTCAAATTCAGTTTTATTCGTAAAATCCAATCAATAGGATTTATTTGGCTTACAACAAAAAAGAGATTGGAACAYTTCTTTGCAATATGCCAAAAAAAGACAGAATGCTGTTATTTCCCTTTCCATTTCACATTCCTCTATATAAAATAGCTTCGTTAAGTTGGGAGCGGTATCCTAAAGACTCATTTTCTAGAGCCTGCACCAGATCCTGGCTATCTTTGAAGATGATCATAGAATCATGCTATAATGTGATGGGTGGGTTGGAGGAGGTGACAAAATTGGCTGTCAGCCTGCCAAAATTATAATGGCTGATGCCACTTTTTGCCAGTGACCTCTTTTGATGAAAGTGACATGTGAATCAAAGGAGTGGGATATAAGACAGGCAAAAAATGCAAACCTCCTTATGTTTAAGYATGACATTCTTCTGCAGGCATAATAAAAGCTGAAGAAAGGTTCTTTTCTGCAAGTAGAAGGTACCCTTTCCTTGCATGTCTGGATTTTTTTCCTCACTTCTTTTCCCTGTCTTTCTGGCATCTTTTTTCCCCTCAGAACAAAAAAGGAGGTAACACCAGTAGATATTTATGCCTGTATTTCTTACATGTGCATCAGGGCAGAATCTCTTTGGTGACATCATTGTTAGTGCCTAAAATGTGACTCATCACATGAGAAAGCTTTATCTGCTAAGCTAGTRCTCAAAAGTACCTCTTTCACTTAAATGAGTATCCACAAGTAATCCTGGACCTAGGGCCAAAAAGGAATGGACCAAAAGGTAACTGTGACACCTACTSGGAGGATTCCCAGCCAAGCCTCGTCACTGAAAGAATTAGAGGTCCTTCAGCCCCTCCAGGAAGACCACATAGTCTCAAACACCAAAGCAGGGTCTCTTCAAGTACCTTCATGGGTAAGCAGTGCTGGTTTGGAATGCCAGATCACCCTTGTGTCAGAAGCAAACAACCCAAAAACCAGTGCTCTTATGCCACATGCAACCATTTAGTAACCTTACGCTGCTGAGGTCATAGTGCCCTTTGTTTTCCCATTTTTTTCACACATCACCCTGGAGAAGAGTAGGTTATTATAAAAGAGAATAAATTCTCTGCTACAGCATTTAGATGGGAAATTCCCTTTATGTGTTTTGCTGGATATTTCCCAGGGGAAGCCCTCTGTGTGTAAGGCACTTCGAGGGAGACTGAAGTGTTCAAAATATGAAGCTCAAGTGCCAGAGCTTCTCAAAATATRTGTSTGCTGGTTTAAAACCCAGTGGGAACATTAAACCCACCCAAGCTGCCCCCCTTTTCCCTCCCCTTCCAATAGTGGAGGAAATATTTTGAGAGATTACAAGATGCAACCACAATTTGCTGGAAAATTACGATAGCGACAATTATATGAGTAAAGAGTGTGCAAAAGAGAGTGTTTTACCCACAAAAGAGTATTTACCACTGAACAAAAATGCTCCCCAAAAATAGT